AAGAGGATATTTAGGCAGCTAGCAAATACATGAAGAAATGCTCATGATCATTAGCCATCAGAGAGATGCAAATCTAAACAACAATGAGATACAATTTCACCCCAGCACTAACGGCAAGTTCAACAAGACAGAAAGTAACAAATGCTGGTGAGGATTAGGAGAGATTGGGACTCTCAAACACTGCTGGTGGGACTGTAAAATTATACAATCACTGTGGAAAACAGTGTGGCAATCCCTTAAAAAGCTAGAATTAGAAATATCATTTGACTCAGCAATCCCATTACTAGGTATATATCCTAAGGAAGTAAGGCCATGATGAGAACAGATATATGCACACCCATATTCATCATAGCACTATTTACAATAGCAAAAAGATGGAAACAACCTACGTGCCCCTCAACACAAGAATGGATAACCAAACTGTGGTACATACACACAATGAAATACCATGCAACCCTAAAAATAATGTAGAATCTGCAAAACACTGCATAACATGGATGAACTTGGAGGACATAATGCTGAGTGAATAAGTCAATCACAGAAGGACAAATATAGTATTATTGTAAAAAGTCAAGGAAAGGTTTATATATGGAGGGAAACTTTCTTTTTTGGTTACCAGGGGGGAAGGAACATTGAAAAAAAAAAAAAAAAGCATTGACCCATGTCACTTTAGTTTTGTGTATTTCACTGTACATAAATTATATTTCAATATGATGTATATATACATACATATATATTTATATATATATACATTTATATATACATATATATATATATACATCATATTGAAATATATACATTTAAAGAAAATATACTTTCAAAGTGTTAACTGCAGACTCAAAAAACACACACACATATATATAGATAGATAAATACACACAAAGACAATAACTGTCAATGCAGAAGATGGGAATTTCCACTAATAACAAGATAAAGAAAAGTGTTTTGAAAAACTTTTACCAAGCTGTAGCTTACCGAAGTTTGGTCTTGGGATGTGTCTTGTTGAAGAAAGAAGAAGAAAAAAGAAGAAAGAAGAAGAAAGAAGAAGAAGAAGAAGAAGAAGAAGAGGAGGAGGAGGAGCAGGAGGAGGAGAAGGAGGAGGAAGAAGAAGAAGAAGAAAGGAGAAGGAGAAGAAGAAGAAGAAGAGGAAGAGGAAGAGGAAGAAGAAGAAGAAGGGAGAAGAAGAAGAAAGGAGAAGGAGAAGGAGAAAAAGAAGAAGAGGAAGAGGAAGAAGAAGAAAGGAGAAGGAGAAGAAGAAGAAGGAGGAGAAGGAGAAGGAGAAGAAGAAGGAGAAGAGGAAGAGGAAGAGGAAGAAGGAGAAGGAGAAGAAGAAGAAGAAGAAGAAGAAGAGAAGAAGATTTTTACATACTACTTCTCACTTATTCCCTGGATTTCCTCAATCTTAAAACATCATAGCAGTTACTGTAAATTTCCCAAAAGTAGTCTGACCCCACATGGTCAAAAGATCAAAAATTACTGCCTCCTCACTACATTTTTCCATATAAAAGGCCATGTGCCTACAGAATTCAAGCAGACAATATGTTGATTGAAATAAGGGGACAGGAGTTTTAATTAGGATGGGAAGTGTAGAAAGCTGAAGGAGCTGAAAATTTCATTGTGGTTGTTCAAGTCTAGCAATTGCTATTCAGTTCCAGAGAATTGTAATTTCGTTTGAATATGGATCCACTGCTATCAGAAAGGAGACTCTAAGTGGTGTAAATGTTAAGTGCTCAACTGCTAACCAAAAGGCTGGAGATTCAAGTCCACCCAGAGGCACCTTGCAAAAAAAGTCTGGCAATTTACTTTGGAAAAATCAGTCATTGAAAACCCTATGAAGCACAACTCAATTCTGGCAAATATGGTGGAGTTGATGAGACAGTAACTAGTTTATTATTTGTTGTTTTATTTATTATCAGATAGTCTCCTCTTGGTGTAAATGATTAGATTAAGTGATTGACTACTAGCTGAAAGTTCATTAGTTCAAAGCCATCCAGACATGCCTTGGAAGACAGGTCTGGTGATCGGCTTCTAAAAGGTCACAGCCTTGAGTATCTATGGAGCTGTTCTTCACTGCATATATGGTATCTCCACAAGTGGGAATTGACTCAATGGCAACAAATAACACAAAAATATCACCTTTTATTTTATGTACAATCTCTTGATTGTTAAATGTGGGCAATACATTCCACTTCTTTTTAAAACGTCAAAATAAAACAAAGCCTATTCATGGCAGGATGGGACTTCTGTTCAATACCCACTCAGTGAAAGCAAATTATAGCAAATGACTATATGGAAAATGATGTCAGGTGACAATCATAATCATACATTGCATCTTGGAAGATGAAGCACTCTGTATTTTGTTAATTGTATTATCTGAAAACTAGCCATAATGTGTGTAGTACAACTAATCTAAAACAGATGAGTGTCTCTTTGAACATGGGAATTGAACTCAGCTGAACCCAGACACCTGGCTTCCAAGTTGCAGTTCAGAAGGAAGTCTGTGGTAGTTAAGTTTTTATGTCAACTTGGCTGGGCTTGATTTTGAGTGTCTGGGCAGTTGATGGTAGTCATACCCCATGATGAGAGTGGCAATCAACTCCATAGTGGGATCTACCACAAGCAGCTGAATAGCTCCTTTAGGAATGTGGTCTGCTTCCCATATATAAGAAATAGCTTCAGGTATGGTCTCTAGCTTATGACATGCTTGAACCCTGAATGTAGCAGTGTCATTGTTTACCACCCTACCATGCTCTGCCAACCTTGGGACTTTCAATGGCCTTGAATTAATGAACTGCCATGTGGTTTGGTAACATCATGACTGTGCCTCTCTACTTGTCAACCTTGGGCTTGTCAGCCTCAGCAGCCAGCAGCTGAGTGAAGAAAAGCCTCTAGCTTGAGTGGGCCAGGAGTAGGAGGCAGAGCTGAAACCCAAGGTTGAGGGGCTTTTACCAAGCCCCTAGAGCCTAGTTCTTTGAACTCAGACTTAAAACCTCCAAACTGTAAGAGAATAAACTCCTATTTCTTCAAGCCATCCCATGTGTGGTATCTTCTGTTAGAGCAGCACTAGATAACCAAAACAAGGTCTAAACCTAAAAGGAAGTGATCATCCCTCAAAGGAGGTCTGGTGGCATAATGGTTAAAGCATTTGGCTGCTAACCAAAAGGTCAGCAGCCACTTTGCAGGAGAAAGATGAGGCAGTCTGCTTCCATAAAAAAGGAGTAGTTCTATTCTGTCCAATAGGGTCACAATGAGTTGAAATTGACTTGATAGCAGTGGGTTTGTTTTTTGGTTAAGTGAGCAAAAAGTAGGTCAAAGGCCACTCACATACCCTGTTTACTGGCATACAACAACCTTAGGTATAGAGATCAGATAATGGGAGTAAGAGGCCAGGTATTTAATTTTCCTAAAGAAGCAAAGGCACTAGCAGTGATATTCAAGATATGATAAAAGAAAAATTTCCAGAGTTAAAGAAAACCAAAAACAAACACAAAATATTAAAAAAAAATCATCAGGATCTTTGAATATAAAAGAAAATTCATCCATAAATAGATGAACATTTTAAAAACAATATGTATAGGCTCATGTTTAAATTAACAACAAGATAATTCTATCAGCATCTGGTTAGAAATAACAACAGTTTCTCTCAAAGGAGCAAGGGTCAGGTTCATTATGATTCTCTTCTACATCAATAAAAGTCAGAATACTATGAAGCAATGTCTACGGCGGATTGAAAGAAGAGGTTTTTTTTACCTAAGAATTTCAAATGAAACCAAGTTTTCTATTAACAGGGAGAACAACAGAAAGACATATTCAGTTATGAAATATTTCAAAAATATACTATATATATATATATATAATTTCATGAAAAAATTCTTAAGACATAGTCCAACCTACTTAAAATGAAACAATTGAAAAACTAAAAAATGGGCAAGTCATCAAATAAAGTACTAGATGAAGTACCTGACTTGGACAAAATGTAGCAGCCACCAGAAAAAATCATTATATGAACTAATGAAAATAGACTTAGAAGTTCTCCATGGAACTTGTGGAATCTTCTAGTGAAACATTGGCACCCTGGTTTGTACAATGCTTTCTTTAAAACTTGGATGCTTGATTGCATGACTGCAGGCTAATTTAAAGAGTTCTATGTTGAAAATATAACTAGAATTGTGTTTTGATTTCTTTATCTGTGTCACGAGGATATTACTTACCCCAAGGTGTTATCAAGAAAAAATATATGGGAAAAATAGAGCTGAGTTGAGTACCTCACACAATATGCTAATTGAGGTTAAATGTTAATTGAATTGAAAATACCAAATGAACATTTCCATAGTATAAGAAGTCAACAATAGATAACTTGTTCAAATACAGAATGTGAGAGAACTGACTTACCAGCTCTGTCTGGGAAATAACCTCAAGCTGATCACAGTTACTTAAAACTGATTTGATTCCAGGAAGAAACCAATAAAGACTACAACAACAGAGAGAAATTGATAAATTTTACTGTGAGCTAGTAAAATCACCCCTAAACCCAGGTTTTCATAACGGGCAGTTGTGCTGTTGTTAGCTGCCATTGATTCAGCCCCCAATGCATTGACCCCATGCACAACAGAACAAAAATTTACCCAGTCTTGCACCATCCCCAAGATTGGCTACAGATTGGCCCACTGTGTTCCACAGCATCCTGGTGTATGTGAAGATTCCTCATGATCACGATTAATTGTTCTGGAATTCTCATTATTACCAGTTTTATCTGTAATTTGTTATGATCCACACAGATCATATACCTATACCCTATACCATGCCTTATTTATTGGAAGTGTGTTGTTCCATAAGGTTAAGGAAAAGTTTGAGGAAATGAAAGTTGTTAGGAAATATCCAGGTGTAGTTTTGTATGTTGTGATGCATAGAAGGGATGAAGTGACACGTGACAGCCCCTCACACCCTCCACCTTGCTTCTGACTACATCCTGGAATCCTGTGACAAAGAAAACACCATTCTCATTCCTGTTTCTTGGGATTATTGATGGTCACATAGTGATAAAAAACGACAAGCAAGAAGAGTAGCATGCCCAGCATGTTAGCAAAGATGGTGAGCTGCATGCCCATTGTCATCCTAATTAACCTTACTTGGCACAGATACTCACTGTGCAGAAGTTCAGGGTAGGAGCTACCCAGTAATTTTTAAGCAGGGTGTTTTTAGTTTCCCCTTCATCTTCTGTTTTTGATTTCTACTTTTATCTGAGAAGGTGCTTTGCAGTATTTTGATGTTTTAAAACTTATTGAGTTTTGAGAGTTCCGGTAAGATGGTGGAATAGACAGAAAGACTGCAAAGACCCTCTTCAACAAACAAAAGGGGAAGCAATTAATACAGACACAGAAGATAATCCTGGACCCCTGAGCCTTGAAGGGAAGGGTATAGAAGTGGACTAAACCCCAACAGCAGAAGAATTTGCATGGAAATACAAAAAAAGAGACACACAGAGCTGCGATCTGGCAGCGATCCTGAGCAATCCTGACGGCACAGAGAGCTTGGAGATTGCCGAGTGTTGGTAAGACCTAAGAATTAACCTAAAAATCAACCCTGCTAGCCAGGGTCTGCACAGAGGACTGCTCTGGTGGCTGGGGAATAAAAGACAAAGCAGCAGTGAAGAGGAAAGTGGGCTGAGCTGTGGACTTTTGCCTGTCTGGAAGATGCAGCCATTTTAACTGTTTACAAGTGGGTTGACCATTTTGGATATTTAAAGAGTTAGTGCTCTCCCAGATTCCAGGGACTTAAGAACATGTTCCACTTGCCAGTAACCACAAGAAGACTCTGGACCTGGACAAATGAAAAGGTGCGAAATTCCCCTTGTTACTCCTAAACTCCACACCCGCTTGGTGAATGGAGATGCAGTCATCCCCCACTCACACTCACCTTCTGGTCCTGCAGGAACTCCATCCCAGTCTGTGTGCTCAGATGGAGCCTGGGTGCCCTGCCCTGCCCTCCCCCAATTTTTTTCTGTGTTTTTCTTTTTCTCTTTCTTTTTTTATGGTTTTTAGTTTGCTTGTTTTTGTCTGTTTTAAAACTACTATTATAATTAATACTTTGTCCTTTTTACTATTATTCTTTATTCTTCCCTTCCAAGATCCTACTTTTCAGCTTTTTTTTTTTTTTTTTTTTTTCCCTGCTCCTGGTTGCAATTTTTTTTTTCTTTTCTTTCTTTTATTCTTGTGGTTAACCTCATTCCTTGTTTATATTTTTGCATTTTTCCCTTTTTTTTCCATTGTTTTCCTTTTCTACCTTTTTTCTCTTAGTGACCTATCCCCAGATATTACAGGTTCTATTGTTTTCTACTTCTACTTTTTCCCTTTTTTCTTTTTTTAGTTACTGTTCCTATATGACTAGATGGTGTATTTTTTTGTCCATGAGCTTTTAGTTTTTTGATTGTTATTCAATTGTAGTTTGTTTCTAACTGAGTGGGAGACAGCAACAATCACCATAAGACATAACCACACCCACATCTCATGTAACTTCACTTATTGAGTGAGAGCAACAACCTCCTCCACCAATGGGCCAATGATTAAAAAAACACCAAAAGATCATGAATCACTTTTGACTGCTCTTCAAAAACAGTTAACAGAGATCTAAATACAACAATGCTACAATATCTCAGAGACAAAAGACCATCACAGTCCACACAAAGAAGCAAGATAAAGTGGCAGAAACAAGGAAGCGGGATAAAGACCCACAACATATCGCTGAAGAAGAAGCAGCATTGGAACACTCTGATAAGGAATTCAAAAGAATTATCTTTAGGTATCTTCAAAGGATTGAGACAGAGACCAAAGAAAACACAGAAAACACCTTAGAAGAATTTGGGAAAAAAACACAAGAATAAAATGACAAAATGAATGAAACATTAGAAATGATTCTAAATCTACAGATAGAAATCCAGAAGATTAATACTAAATTGTCAGAATTAGCTACATAATGGAAGGGCAAAGGAGTAGAATTGAAGTGATGGAAAACAGAATTAATGAGATTGAGAATAAATATCTGAATACTTCTTTGAATATCTGAATTTTTCTTTGATCAATCAGAAAAAAAAAATCAAAACAAAATAAAGAAAGCCTAAGTTTCAGTAAGATACCATCAAAAGGAATAACCTATGTGCCATTGGAATTACAGAACAGGAAGAGAAAAATAAAACCACTGAGAAAATTGTCCAAGATTTGCTGGAGGAAAACTTCCCGAATATGAGGAAAGATGAGAATATATCCATTCAGGAAGTCCAACGAACACCAAACAGAATAGACCCCAAAAGAAAATCACCGAGACATATCATGATCAAGCTCACCAAATCCAAAGACAAAGACAGAATCCTGAAAGCTGCACGGGAAAAACAAAAAGTTACTTACAAAGGATAGCCAGTAAGAATAATCTCTGATGCCCCAGCAGAAACCATGAAAGCAAGAAAGCAATGGGATGGTATATATAAAACCCTGAAAAAGAAAAAATTTTAACCAAGAATTATATACCTGGCAAAATTGTCCCTTAATATGATCATGAAATTAGAAGATTTCCAGATAAGCAGAAACTAAGGGAATTTGTGAAAACCAGACCAACCTTACAAGAGATGCTAAAGAGAAACCTTTAAAAGAGAATCAAAAACAGCAAATGAGGCGGGGCAAGATGGTGGACTAGGCAGAAGGATTGCACAGACCCTCTTCAACAAAGAAAAGGGAAACCAATTAACACAGACACAGAAGATAATC